AGTAGTTTTATAAGATGATACTTGTTTTTTTCTGAACTGGACTCATAAATACTGAAATAAGGTTAAGCCTGAGGATATGGAAAAGAAGAGACATGTAGTAGTATAAAACAGATGGTAAAACTGGTCCAAACACATCTATGGGCAATAGGTGGAAGTGGAAGAAAATGTGGGGATACTCACAAAAAAGATCCTGTGAGAATTCGAACCAGTGACTTTCTTGCCATGATGCAAAAGTGCCTGCCAACTGTCACCCCTGCTCATATACTGTATCTGGCTGGTGTTAAATTAGATTGGAAGTGAATATGTTGGTACATCCCTGATGCTGATCTCTGGGTGTCTCTAATGTTGGCCCAGGTACCATGTTGGAGCTGGTTCAGCAACTCTTCCCACCTTCTCAGTTTAAAGGTACCACATCTCCTGTCCTTCCTTCTTCATAGCCATCGTGTTGAGTTAACCTCATGCTGCTACTGGCCCTCTGTGCTCTGCTCCTGGCCTTTTATTCCTTCATGGTATTTATTTGCAGTGCCGTTCCTCCTTCCGTTAAGACTTCCCTTAGCATTATTAAAAATCATGTTCATCTTTGAGTTGCCTTTAGAGCTGGCATGGACCTCCCAGGTGCATGAAGTGTTATGTTACTGGTGTTTGTTCCAGTGTTTCTCTGCTGCTGAGCTTTCTGTAGATTGGCCTGGATTTGCTTTTGTCTGACATCTGGCTCAAAGAAGGTAACACAACCACATATGTTATCTTTTAAATGTTGAACATGGAAGAACCTACTGTAAGTACACCATATGCTAGTGTCGATTCATGGAGCAGACATATTTTAAGCTTACTCCACTTATTCTCTTTGGACAACATGACTTTTTGAATCACAGTAATGTAGATTTAAATGTTACTTTTTGATGTAATATCCAGAAAACCTGATTGCTTCTGCATTTATATTGTTTGTTTTTAGTAGGGCAGCAATTTATGATTTCTGAAACATAGTTTTGTTTATGATTAATTAACTTTTTATGAAAATGTCATCCAGTCTTTATATACTCTATAAGAACAGGCCAGCATAACCTCATAGTGCGTCAGTGCAGGACGATAGTGGCCTTGAGTCAAATGAGCGGAGTTCCATCACTTTTAGTCTGCCCATTAAGTCCGTGTTGTATCAATCACCAGCCTCATTTCCCAGGTTGACATGGTCAGCAATCATAAGCAATCAGTTACTAATGACAGCCTGCTCAGCTGTATTCTCAAAGACTAAACTAGAAGTCAATAAAATTTGCCTGAATGAATATATTGAATATATTTGCACCTTTTTTTTTTTTACATTCTTTAGTTGGTTGAGTAGTCTCATGGAAGCTAAGTATTCATGTTAAATGATGTTTTGACCTATTATTATGCTCTGTAGTGAGTGTCGGGCTCTGCCATCATAAATCTACTGAGGATATCTCTAGCCCTGAGCTACTGAACCTTTAAGCTGGCTGTAAAGTCTCCTCTCACCCAAGTAAAGAACATCTATTTGGCTGCTTAATCAGGCCTTGTATCTGCATTGTGTCTCCCTAGGCTAGCTTACGTTGGCTGGAAGATGGCAGTTTCATTTGAATGCAATGGTCTACTCAGTTATCCTGCCACTATCCCTTCTTATCTTACTCCTCTAGTCTTAAAAAAAAACCACACTAATTAGGAACTCCTCTAGCATTAGAAGAGGCAACCTGATGTAACCTTTAAACTGCTGTTGAATCATACCATTGACCATACAAAGAGCAGCCTCTAATCAACTGTGCATGCACATTCAGAAGTAATGTAAAAATGAAGCACAAATGCCTCCAAATGGCCTTCTTTTAGCTGACTGGTCCATTTGTCAGTGCAACAGTTTGATGGATGTGTACATTTTCTACCTTATTAGTAATACAACCTTAGGACAAAAGCATGTCTTTCATTCTGTATATGATGGTGTCTTTATTCAACAATCCATCAAAACCTTTGCACTGTTGAGGAAAGACTCTTTATGTGTTCTCTCTGAACAGTTTAACCATGTTGAGCAATACCTCCGAAATGTTACAGCTGCAGTTGTAATTGTGCTCCTATGCTCACCATATTCTGACACTACCTTTTAAAACGCAATGGGACTCATCCTTTGAAGTCTTTCTCACACCTAATTTCAAAATGATACTTGACACAGCACATTTTCACATCAGAATGCATTTTTGGCTCTGTCCTCACTTGTGTCCAGCTGGGCTGAAGACTCTTGGTGTGGTTGGCTCTCTGTTAGACCCTGCACTGTTGTAGGAACACTCAGCATGATTTGTGCACAGTCTTTTGTAAATGTGGATTTGACATGTCACAAAGTAACCAAGAATTAATCATGTTGAGTGCATTATCAGTACCATTATTTAGCAACTTGTAATTATGGGAACATACTAACATAATATTTAACAAGGTAGTGCCATACAGTACAGGTTATAAGTATTTAGATATGTTTTGTTGTTCAGGCTCTGTGCTCCAGGACATTTCATTTGAAATAAAATAATAGATTTTACATTACAGTGTCAAGTCATCTTTATTTTGAGTAGGTTTACATCAATGTAGAAAGAACAGACAGATCCACATGAAGTCAAACAGAATCACTGTATTTAACATTTAGTGTAAAATCCTTTGCAGTCAGTGACGACCTGGAGTCTTGGACCAACTGATATCAGCAGAAACTTTGTATCTTCCCTGGTGATGCTCTCCCAGGCCTTCACCACACCCACCTTCAGCTCTTGCTTGTTCTGGTGTCTGACTTCAGTCTGGTCTTCAGCGGGTGGAATACAGCTCAGTTGGGCTGAGATCCAATGAATAACTCAGCCTGTCAATGATACTCCACCTCTTCACCCTGAAAAGCTCTTTGGATGCTTTGGTCATACATTACTTTTAGGATTGTTGTCCTGCTTTTTTTTAGCTAGTGGTTTTGATGCATTTTGCTGAATCTAAGCAACACGATGGTCCTGCATACCTCTGCATTCATCCTGTAGCTTCTGTCAGCAGTGGAATCATCAGTAAATACAAGTGTGCCAGTTCCACTGACAGCCATTCATGCTCAGCACCATGTTTAACAGATGAGGGCATGCTTTAGGATATGAAGTGTTCCTGTGCCTCTCAACTGTTTCCTCTTGATTCTTCAGTCTGTAGAACTTCGTATTGGAACTCTCCTGGTTTCTATTTGCATGTTTTGTGAACTGCAGCCTGGCTTTTCTGTTTTAAGGCTTTTTTATTGTTTGCATCTTATAGTGTACTGAGGTTCAGGTCATGACGTTTTCTCTGGATTGTTGACAAGAAACTGTATGCCTACATCCTGGATAGCATTTTTGCCTTGCTATGCAGTCATAAAGGATTTTATCTTTTACCAATGCAAATGAGTTTGTTCCTCAGTCTGCCAGCTTGTTGCTATTTTCTAGTTTTTCTGTGTGCATCAGCCTTTTCAGAACATGCCCAACTGTTGATATCTCTCTGATAGAGCTTTTTTGAAAACCTCATTATTTTCCTCTTCAACTACATGGTCATAACTTTGATCCTTGTACTGACATACATCTCCACTTCAATCTAAATGGCAGTTCTCAATGCTCAATCAATTCTGAGCCATGTGTGAGCTCCCTGTGTAAGAAGTAACTTTGAAATGACACACAGTTCCTCAAGAAACATTTAGTAGCCAGGTTTCAGCTTACTTTTGAACCATTAAAATATGGAGATCATGTGTTACAAGGCTCTGTCTCCCACACACTTTTCTCTCTACTGACTTGGCACTTTGCTGTAGTATCCATTGGATTCCATGGTTCCCCTAACCTTTACCATTATTACCATTATTTTATTTCAAAATTAATATGCTGAAGAACATAAAATATGCAACTGTCCAAATACTTATGGTCTGGACTCTGACTGTATTGTAGCTTTGGTTTCTGATGTGACAATGAAATTGACTTGGTGTGCCCACAGTGGCACATGTGTCATAGGACAGTGACCCATGCTCGAAGTGAGAGCGGACACTTAGACATCTATATGACTGGCTCTTTAGAAGTCCTTATTCAGTTCACTTTAATTTGTATAGCACCAAATCACAGCAAAAATCATTTCACGGTGCTTTGCATAGTAAGGTTTTATTATTACTATTATTATTATTATAGACAAAAACCCAACAAACCCCCCTGAGCAGCACTTGGCGACAGTGGGGAGGAAAAACTCCTTTTAACGGAAGAAACCTCCGACTGACCCCGGCTCTTGGTGAGCAGCCTTCTGCCTCGACCGGTTGGGGTGAGTAGATAGAGGAGAGAGAAAAGAAAAGAAAATGCAACAAGACACAACAAACACAACAGCACACAATCAAACACTGGTCAGGTTCATGTGGCTGGTGACTGCTCAACAGAGACGTAGAGCTCCGGAGCCAGGGCAACCTGTAGAAAGGTACAGAGAGGGAGAGAGAGAGAGGACACACTATGGGAATAAAATAAAAATTATTCACCCCCCTTGGATGTTTTACTGTTTTATTGATTTTATAAATAAATCATGGTCAATATAATTTGGCTTTTTTGACAAATTTACAAAAAAACCCTTTTTAATGTCAAAATGAAAACAGGTTTCTACAAAGTAATGTCAGTTAAATAAAATATGTAATGGGAAATAAGTGACTGCATAAATTTTCACCACTTTCAAAATGACTGACCTAATTCAACAGAGGTCCAGCCAACTGGTGCTAGCAGTCTCAAAATTGGTGAAATGGGGATGTTTTTTAAAGGTCTTTTTAAAGGCAATTTCACATAATCTTGTAATATCTGCTATTAGAATTAGGCATGGTGGAACAGTGGTTAGAACTGTCACCTCACAGCAAGAAGGTTCTGGGTTCAAGCGCCGGCTGACCCAGGGCCTTTCTGTGTTGAGTTTGCCTCCTTGTGCCTGTGTGGGTTCTCTCTGGGTACTCTGTCTTCCAAAGACATGCGGCTTAGGTTGACTGGTGGCTCTAAATTACCCGTAGGAGTGAGCGTGCGTGTGTATCTCCAAGTGTCAGCCCTGTGACAGACTGGTGACCTGTCCAGGGTGGACCCCGCCTCTCGCCCAGTGTCAGCTGGGATTGGCTCCATTAGGATAAGCTGTATAGGTAATGGAAGGATGGATGGATAGTATTAGGGCTGGGCCAAAAAAATCAATATGGCGATATATTGTGATATTTCCACCCGCTAGACGGTATTGATACACTTGCACCAAATGTCTTTTTTTTTTCTTTTTTTTTTTTTTTTTAAAGAAAAACATGCAGATGTGTGTCTCACCTTAATCTATAAGGGCAGCCTCAGAATCACATTTATTGGCCAAGTGTAATTAAATACAGAAGGAATTTGACTCTGGCACATAGGCTCAGTGTGCTTTTGTAAGGCAGCATAAAAATAGGAAAATATAGGAAAATATGTGCATTTAAAATAAGAAAGACACGAGGGGAAAAAAAAGAAACAGTCTACTCATATACAATATATACACATTGTGGCAGAATAGCTATAGCTAGTTATGTACAGTGCTTATAGTTACAAGTTATTGCACTGGGGCTAATGTCCTGTTATACAGACATGGGTTAAGTTTTCATCAGTGTGACAGCCCAGGGGAAGAAACTGTCCTTGTGTCTGGTTGTTTTGGCGCACAGTGACCTGTAGCACCGTCCAGAGGGGAGGAGTTCAAACAGATTGTATCCAGGGTGTGAGGGGTCTGCAGAAATCTTCTCTGCCCTCCTTCTGACCCATGAGGTGTACAGGGTCTCCATGGCTGGCACCGATGACTCTCTCTGCAGACGTGACTGTCTGTACAGCATTATTTGCTAAATGTCAAATCAGGTCTAACCACAGAAATATTTCCATATTTACACAAAATTAGTTGGTCAAGTCCTAATTTGTACCTTAAGTTTTTGGATGTTTTTTGCTATTGACCACAAAATGTCAACTGTGACTATTTTTATTTTAGAGACTTTTGCATTGTTTCTATTCTATAACATTAATGTACTGTTAATAAATAATATACATTTGACAGCTAAACTTTTTGTTAATTTACAGGTATATCAGATTATTTTCTCAACATATTGTGCATCACTGCTGGGATATATCATTACTGTAGACAAAATATGACAGTATCAGCCCAATTTAGTTCAGTTTAAAGACCACAATTTGTGTCTTTAGTCACTAATTAGTGGCTTTTTGTACTAGTACTTTACATTCCCTGAGAACCTTCCGTTAAGTATATGTAGCTTCCTCTCTTTGTGAATGCTCATTTTGATGTTTATAGTAACGATCATCTCGGTGAAATATATATATATATACCATGCCATACCATACCAACTTTATTTCTAAAGCACTAAAACAACCAAGGTGGACCAAAGTGCTGTACATTGCAATAAACGATATATATTAAAAACACAACCCACAAGCACAAACAAAATCAATACCAATATAAAAACATAAATCAATAAAATATATGATAATGACGACACTAATATCCAGAGTGAATGTGTGGCACTCTGACCACAAGAAGCTTGTCGTCTTTCAAATGGTAAAACAGATTTGTATTTCTCTCTGGTTCTGTGTCACCCATCTGTCCTGTCTGTAAGGTGAAGACATCCACCCCCTCTACCCCTTACTGTGTGTGTAATAATAGCCAGTACCATGTCAAAGCTACCGCATCCGGCAGTACCGTCTTACACAAGCCATGTTATATGGCAACAGTACTTTCTGCTGAAGCATGTGCACACCTGGAATATGGTGAGCAGCAAAAATGGGTATTAAGCCTCCCTTTTTACCATCACTACTAGGATCTATAGAGTTCATTTGAAAGCTGTGCTCCTGTATTAAAACAGAAGGATAAGGTAGCAGGCACCATGGCAGTTATGTTTTCCAGCTATACTAAAGGACATTTAACTCCAAGGCTATATTAAAAAATGCATCGCTGACAGGGATTGTTGTATAACTCTGAAAAAGTAAATAATTAGTCAATTAAGAGGTAGTAGAAATTGAAAACCTAATGTGCTGGCTATACTGCAGTTGGACATTTGTTGATCATTTTAACATATTGCTTTCAGGGATTGCCTGCATTGCCCTCTCCTTCGTGGATGCCCATGGTCACCCCCTTCAAGATCCACTCCAGGACTGTGCAGCACTGCAGAGATCAGAGAACTGCACCACCCCCCTTTCCCCAGGCCATTTTGATGAGCTGACCACTGTGGTTAAAGTGGACTACATCACTGACAGTTCAGGTACAAGTAAACGCAACATGGAGCAGTTGTAGCCAAACTGAAGTTGGCCCCTCATGTGATATAGTTGAGTCCTGGGGGCGGTGATGTAGATAGAGTGTAAGGGTAAGAGTTAGAGATTTACACACACATAGGAAAACAAGTAAAGAAAGGCTAAATACTCTAGTTGAACAACAACTCAGGAAACGGGCTCTGTCCAGAAAAACAATAACTTCAACTTTGTCCCTTTTTTCTTTAGTATAAAGCTAACTACACTGGCCTATTTGGTAAGCATGCTTGGTTTACTGATGACATGAGGTTCATGAATTAATGGAGTCTTGCAACAACAATGCCCTTAAAATTCAGAAAACACAAGATAAAGCAAAAATGTGTCCAATAATTAAAAGTAGCCTTTTTCTTTTTCACCCTGTGTATTTTCATTGATTCATCACTTAGTCAATCATTAATTAAATTAATGAGTCATCACTAATGTACTGCATGTAAATTGACATTTACAGTAAAGTCTATTGAACCCATGCAGGGAAATTAAAGTCACAGCAACAGAAAAACTGTTTAATAGTGTGGCTTCAAAAAATATTAATATACAATGCAGTTGCAACGCCGTATAATGCAGGTACAGAAAAAATGAATACCAAGTGACAATGGGATCTTAAAGCCACTAATTCCATGTTGAGAACAACATCTTCAGAATTCTGTTCTCAGGCTTGTCCGAGCTCTGCTACATTCACATAAGACAGTAAACAACTGTCCTTCTAGGCTGTGTAAAACTAACCATGACGGTTTAACTGAATGGTGTGTGAAACAAGTGGGGTTTCCCTTTAGAATTTTTCATTCTGTAAAAGTGCGACCTCTGTCATTGTTCTTCATCCTCATCATTACCCTCTCCTCGAGAATCATATCAAGATTGCATCTGATTATGATGAAAGGTTACAAAATGTTTCATGACTCATTTCATTGTATAAACTGCACCAATTTTAATTGGATTAATGACAGTAATAAATGTCGGGCTATGCTATGGCTAACAGTGCAGCTATGTGAGGAGGCGACAGTGGTGTGGTGGGTAGAGCAGTTGTCTCCCAACCAGAAGGTTGAAGGTTTGAATCTCGGTGCCGGCAGTCCATGTGTCGAAATGTCCTTGGGCAAGACACTGACCTCTGTCTGACCTCTAGAGCCATTGGTTGAGGTGGCACCACAGATGGCTGCCATTGGTTCTCTACTGGAAAGAAATTCCTTTCTGAAAAAATAAAATAACACTATGGTGGAGATGATTAATACTGCTGGCCATATTAAGTGCACATTTCCTAGAAAGCCTACTGGTTCCTTTCCTGTCTCCCACTTGGAATATTTACCCTAACCCTCCATGCCTGTACTTACTGTACCTTTTGTTCTTCATGTGTTTTAAAACCTCCTTCTTTCAAGATGCAGTTGATCCCATAATGTTTTCTCTTTTCTTGTGTTTGCATGTCCTCAGATCCACAGTTGTGTGTGCGCTTTGACATCTGGGAGCAAGGCAACATCAGCCCCTTACAGCTCAGTGATAAACTGCAGGGCGCATTGCGCCACGTGCTCTGTGACGTCGTCATGGAGCTGAGAGTCTTGCCAAATCCTCTTTGTGTGGGAATATCATGTCCAGCAACCAAAGCACAGAAAGAAGAGGCCAAAGGTGAGGTCATTGCTAAATGGTTATGTCTCTTCTACACTGTACATACTGTATACTGTGCCTGTTGGCAACCCAGTTAAAGCAGCAGCATCCAGTGTAACATAATCCATTATAACACTACCAACACCACGCTTCTGAATCAGCTTCTCTTTGACAGTGCCAACAAAAAATGATGAGCCTAAAGATAGTTTTCAATGAAATGCTGTTGTATCTTCCTGTTCAGATGTTTTACGTATATACCCACTGTGGGTCACGTTGTGATGACAGCAGCTCTGAACTAATTTGTATTGTTTATTTTGAAATATATTGTTAGTAATGGGAAATAAATGCCGCCTCGTTGTGAGACTGAATTTAACTACAGATGATTTTGTCAGAGATTGGATTAGATTACTCCCACAGTCCAAACACATGCAGTTTGACTGGTGACTTTAAACTGCCCATAGGAGTGAGTATGTGTGGTTGTTTGTCTACATGTCAGCCCTGTGATGGACTGGCGACCTGTCCAGGGTATATTTTTCTCTCTGTTAAAATGTCAAAACTTAAAGTCCAGTAAGAGACTGTACTGTGACTGTGGAAGGGTAACTGTGTTTCTAAATGCCTTCATGCCTGCATTCGCTACATGTTTTTTGTTCAGAAAATTTATTTCCTTGAATGAGAATGTTGACAAAACAGCCCGGTGGCTCACACAGCTTTGGTGCAATAAACTGAGTAATCAGGTTTTGACATATTTTTGTAAGCAGAAATTGCATGCAGAACCTAATACCTCCCATTACAAAGCACTGACCTGAAACATTTTGGGGATCTTTTGGTTTGATTTGCAGAACTCTAGTCCAAACGCAGATCACACACAGTTCTTGCTGTCTGCCTCACATGTTTTCAACTTGTCAGCTGTGTTAAAATTGTTGAAGGCATCCACTGTTTCACCTTGAGCTTTCTGGTTTCAGATGACACCTGCTTTCTTCCGCAGTTTTCACCCAGTCTTCTGTAGAACTATTTTGCCTACTAAACAGACCAGTGGTCCTGATGGTACAGTGTAGTACCCAAGTTTCACACACACAGCTGGCACATTATCAGTTCTTGTTTGTTTTATTTTTTTGTATTATGTTTTATTTTGTTTGGGCCACATTTAAGCTGAGTACCTGTGGTTATATGGTCTGTTATGTGTGTCTATCTATATATACAGTATA